GGTGTGTGGGTGAAGGCCTTGGCTATGGCTTCTGTGCCAGTGTTGGGAAGGGTCACCTGGGAGGAAGGAGCTCCCAGCGTCCCCCCAGGCTGTTCACTCCAATGGAGCCACAGTGCCTACTGCCAGCTTTTTGTGGTGGTCTTTGCTGTCCTTTACTTCCTGCTGCCCCTGCTCCTTATCCTTGTGGTCTACTGCAGCATGTTCCGAGTGGCCCGTGTGGCTGCCATGCAGCACGGGCCGCTGCCCACGTGGATGGAGACACCCCGGCAACGCTCTGAATCTCTCAGCAGCCGCTCCACGATGGTCACCAGCTCGGGGGCCCCCCAGACCACCCCACACCGGACGTTTGGGGGAGGGAAAGCAGCAGTGGTTCTCCTGGCTGTGGGGGGACAGTTCCTGCTCTGTTGGTTGCCCTACTTCTCTTTCCACCTCTATGTTGCCCTGAGTGCTCAGCCCATTTCAACTGGGCAGGTGGAGAGTGTGGTGACCTGGATCGGCTACTTTTGCTTCACTTCCAACCCTTTCTTCTATGGATGTCTCAACCGGCAGATCCGGGGGGAGCTCAGCAAGCAGTTTGTCTGCTTCTTCAAGCCAGCTCCAGAGGAGGAGCTGAGGCTACCTAGCCGGGAGGGCTCCATTGAGGAGAATTTCCTGCAGTTCCTTCAGGGGACTGGCTGTGCCTCTGAGTCCTGGGTTTCCCGACCCTTACCCAGCCCCAAGCAGGAGCCTCCTGCTGTTGACTTTCGAATCCCAGGCCAGATAGCTGAGGAGACCTCTGAGTTCCTGGAGCAGCAACTCACCAGCGACATCATCATGTCAGACAGCTACCTCCGTCCTGCCCCCTCACCCCGGCTGGAGTCATGATGGGCCGCTGGACACTCGGAGGGATATGGGGCTGGGGGCCAGTTATGATCGCAAGGACCACCTTGTGGGATCACCTTTTCCCAGCTGGCTAGGGCTGAGGCTGGGGTCTCTGCACACAGCTTTTGCTTAGTGTTTCCTGGGTCAGGAACAGAGTCAACAGGACGAACGTGTGCAAAAGCCTTGGACTTGGCTGTGATCTTTGACTGCTGGGGGAGGGAACCTGGGTATGGTGAGACGGTGACGAGAGAAAAGGGTCACAAAGGTGAGGTGAAACCTCTCAACCAGTGAAATTTCCATGCTTCCAGAAGCAGGGAGTTCTCTAAGGGTAGGAGTTGGAGGATACAGGGCAGCAGGCCAGGTTTGGAGTTATTCTAGGGGCCATTTAGGATATTTTATTTTTCAGTGTAATTGTCCAGGGCAGTAATTGCACCCAAGCAAGGTAAGAAAATGACCCATGTTTTCTCATTTCCTTGCTAGGTTTAAAAAGAACTAAATTATAGCCAAGTGTTTCCACTTGAGTTAATAGATCATTTTTCTGGTTTTATACCTGAGATTTCTTTAAAACGAGAGGACCAGTAGGGTGTATTCCTTTACTGAGTTTGGCCAGAAACAAGGCAAAATAGAAATTAGGGTACATGAAGTAGAAGATAGGAAAGCTGACTGCAGCTCGCTCTCTCCCACTCTTCAGGATAAGCCGTTCTGTTCTATTTTTCTGTCTCTCTCCTGCACACAGGAGATCAAGGGTAGAGCCTGATCTCAGCAGAGACAAGAAGAAGGCAGGATGGCTTTCCTCTCTTTTAGGAGGAAGAACTAGAATGCCTGGGGGTCAGATGGGCGAGGGTGGAGGTTAGCATTTGAATTGGTAAAGTAGCTGGATACAGAGAGGCCAAGTAATCGGCCTGATCAATAATACTGCGAATCTTTTCTTTCCAGGACTGGCTTCCCTGATCTCTCTCCTCATGGCAGTGACCCACCTCCAGTCCCGTGGACAATCGGGTACAAGAGACTTAAGGTTGGGCATGGGAAGGGTGGGGTTTCCATGATCCATTAAATGCCTTCCTACTCCCATTCATCGCTCTCAAAATTAGCTTCAGTGACAAAGACTTAAATCTCTCTCCTATCTGCAGCACTGGGTTGGAGAGAGGGCACAGGAGTTGGTCTTGGCTGTTCATTGATTGAGACTGTAGGAACTGTGTTGGTTGGTATTGGTGGTGGTATTTTCAACAAAGAGGGAATAATTGCAAACTGGACAGGACACCCATCTGGGACCACCTGTCCATCCTACTTCCCTCAATTGAAGCAGGTAACACTAAAGGGTCAAGGCAGGGCCAGAGGGTGGTGTGGTCTGCATTTGAACAAATTCCTGGCTCACTGAGCATCAAAGGGGGAAATGGGCTGGTGGGAGTGGGATAGTCTCCCCTTTAAACAGTTAATAAATAATTTTTATAAAAGGTTATACTGATATCAACATTGACTCCTTTAGTTCAATTCAGTGTATAATAGTTGAACACCCACTAGTCCCTGGGACCCACACAGGGTGTGTGGTCACTGCTTTTAAGGAGTTCATAGTCTAATTTGATGAGATACCTTGTATTTTCACAAAGCACTTTGAACTGATAAAGCACTACAGAATGTGCTTGAGAAATATACTGGAGAATATGTCCATGGTTCTAACTTCTGAGAGTTCAGCCCATGGCAGCAAGATGCATACCTGGAAGCTTCCTGCAGATTGTAGAAAGCATAGGGGTTGTAAATGAAACTCTCTAATGAAGAAAAAAAAAATTAAATGAAACTGGGCAAACAGCTTTCCACCTTTGTTGTAGGAAAATTTCCAGGTTTGTGTTCCTACCACTAGATTATTATACCAGTGTAGTGCCTATTACATTGAGGAAGTCACCTAAAAACATAGTATATATAGGGAGGAGAGTCGTTTGTGATTGAAAAACATGTTCACCTCTCCTCACTATTAAAATAAATGCATACTGAGGAATCAATCATTCCTAGACAGGGAAAAAAACTTCTTTCCAACACCACTAATCAGCTATTAGATACAAAGCATTGCCAGCAGGTGGCAGTGTGAGTCCAATGGAAGGAGGAAACGCGAGTGTATGTGGTGGGAGGAGGAAGGGGAGGGCATTAAACATTGCCTGGCAGCCATTTTGTTAATTTATTTTGCCTTTTCCTTTGACTTTGCCCTCCAACCCTTCCTTCACATACATCAAAGAAGAAAGTTTTAAGAGTAAGGGTATCTTTAATTCAGGCTGAAATTTCCTGACACTGTGATCTCACTGGTGTTTCTTACAGAGTTTGACATACATGGGTTCATTTGCCATTTATTTTTCCCTGTAGGAGTGGATCATGAAGGAAATAAAAATTTCTCTTTTATTATGCTGAGAACTTTCCCAACAATTTCTGCTATGACCACCTTCCAGGAGTTTTCTAGTCACCAGGATGCCTTGGTAAAGTTCGATACGTAATCTTTGGCTCTGAAAGCTGTTCCTGGACAAAATCTGAGCTAACTCACTGAAGAATCAACAGATTGAGGCAACCATCCGGTCAGTTACTTTTTCCTGCATCCTGCTGGTGTTGGGGTAACTCCCAATCCTAGATGAAAACCTTAGACTTTCTGTTGTCAGGTGTCCCCAGGCAATATCGTAGAGGGGCATGATAGAAAAAGGTAACTCTGGGGTCAGAGAGATCTACTTACTCACTGTGTGAAGTTGGGAAAGCTGCTTAATTTCTCTGAGCCTACTTCCTCACCTGTAAAAATGGGGATCTTTATTACCTACCTCACAGGGTTGTTGTGAGGATTAAGAGATGGGATGTGGAAGCACCTAGCCATATCTGGCAAATAGGTACTCAATAAATATTGGTTTTACTTCCCTTTCCTCTTGCCCTTTTTCCCCAAAAGTATTGATAATGGAAAAGCGGTCCCTTTCATTCTAACAGTCATTTGGGAATGACTGGGGGACTATTCAAACCTTGAAGAATTGGCATTGCTAAGAGTTATGGTGGACGAGGCTTTTTAAAGTGGCTCTAATCCTCTAATTAAATCCTTCTAATTAATGAATCATCACTATATAGCCCTCTCTGTTGGGACCTTACATTCTCAAGTTCAGATTCTATTAGAGAAAGAAAGTAATTTACAATCACAGGGAAAGGTTTTAGGGACTGAGTTCCCTTCCCTAGAATGTATAGTAATTATGGGCTTATTTGCCTGAAAAGTTCATTTAGGACTACCTTCACGCAGTATCCAGGGTTATTAGTGAAAGATGCTATCGGCCTGGGGCTTTCACAGTGGACTTAAGTTTCAGGTGAGAATAGGGCTGAGAGGCAAATTTTACTAGAATTTCTCCTTTTGTATGTAATCGCAACAGGAAATTTTAATAGGAGATTCACAGGATGCATTGGTTTGTTTCAGGGTGTGGAACTGAAGTTGACTTATCTTGGTTTTAGTTCTAAGACCCTAAGGTAGGAAGATCTGAATTATACTGGAGAGAAGGGCAGCATGGAAATTTTATGGAGGAACTACAGGCTTAACTTTAAGGTTATCGAGTATCTGCTAGTGATTTCACGTGGCCTTTTGCCAACATGAGTTAAGCAAATCTCAAGCCCACAAAAAAACGTGAAAGGCATAAGGACCAGGGGACATTTTGAGAGGAGTCAGTGGGCCAGAGAGGGCAAAAAGGTATTGCTAAGATCCTGAACACAGTCGGTGTTACGGTCTCAGATGTGAGACGTGAACGGCGCCCAGGCCGGGCAGCTTGTTCCCATTCCATTGATCCGATACAACCCCAACAGAGGCAGTGTCCCCCACTTGGGTAGGGGCCCCAGGTCTCCACAGCAAGAGATCAAAGGGGTTTTCTAACAGCAGAGAAATTATCAGCAGAAATTCCCGCGCGGGATGTAGGCTTTAATTTAGACATCTCCGCCCCAAAACTGGCATTTTGAACGCGGGAGGGCATTATTTGTTGGAGGCCCCGGTTTTTCTCCATTTATCCAAATCAGGTAGCCGAAAGGTAAATGAGGCTTCGAGTTGGGCGGCGGCCAGCGAACTTGACAGAACCTCGAAACTGTAGATCCGCCGCCCAAGCTAGCCGCCAGGTCCCCGTGACTTCCGCTTTCGGTCTCAACTCCTCTCGCCGAGGAGAGTGGTTTAAACAGTGAAGGCTGCGGGGCGTCACCGGAAATGTCGTAAACGCCGGATATCCGGTTCTTCAGGGCGCTAAGGGAGCTGACGGAGAGGGCCGCCGCCCAGCAGTAGACGCTGCTTTAACCTGCCGAGCCGAAGTTCCCGCGGTGTGTGAGTGAGCCCGGGCAGGTGTCCCCTCCTCCGCCGCCGCCATGGGCTGCACGTTGAGCGCCGAAGACAAGGCGGCAGTGGAGCGAAGCAAGATGATCGACCGCAACTTACGGGAGGACGGGGAAAAAGCGGCCAAAGAAGTGAAGCTGCTGCTACTCGGTGAGGGGCTGGAGGCGGGGACTGAGTGGTGGTCGGGAGAGCCTAGGCGCTTGGAAGGCCTGAACGGGGTCTAGTCGGGCCGACGAAAAGGACTCTAAAGGGATCTGGAGGGCGTGCCGGGTGTGGGGCGGGGTGTTGGGGTTCATAGCTGAGGCCCCAGAGGGCGTGATGAGGGGGGTGGGGTTTTGGGGTTGCGGGAATTAGGCTGTAGAGGGTGTGACTCCGGGCTGGAATTGCGTTTAGCAGAGAGACTTGGGAGTATGGGCAGGTAGGATATTGAGGGAGTAGGAATATGGGAAAAGCTCATAAAGGAAGTTGATACTCGGGAAGGTTTTACATGGGTTGGAGCGTGTTGGTAATGGTTTGTGAGTTTGGAGCTTCGTGGTTCTTTGGCAGGATAAAGCTAGGAGGCTTGAATGGAACAGAATGGTCACGTAAGGACGTTGACATTTGTTATTGAGAGAGCCTTTTGAACTGTTGGAGGAACCCTGGATTATCCAGGAACATGAAGGTAGGTAGATGAGATAAATGACAAATTATCAAGTATAAAGGAAAAGAGCTTGGGTGCAGAGGCCATCTCTACCTTTCCACCGCTTTCTATCATTTTTATTTTCAAAGTTTTATAACACCTTCTGTTTTTATAAAAGGATGGGAAATGGTGTGAGCTGAAGAAATTTAAAGAATGATTTGTTTGAGGTTTGTAGCAGAAGATATAGTGAACAAGAGATTACACATTGGAGAGTGCTGAGCAGTTGGTATAGATGATGTGCAGTTGGAATAGTTATCTTAGGATAAGTTACAGAGTTGGACATATTTACTGTAAAGACTATGGTAGACTTCTGGTGGCTGTTGTATCCATTTTGGCCTCTTCAAAGCAAAACCATTGGTTTCAGGAATTACTGTTTATATTATCTGATAGTCGTTTTAAGTGGTTTTTTTGGTGCAGTCGGATGTGTTTTACTCAACTTGAGTTTTAAAATTTTTGAGAGGCTCAGTAAATCATACAAAGAATCCTGGCATTAGCTTACTAATAAATCAAATCACATTTCATTATTAGTATTTTCTAGGGTAGTATTTCCATTAGAGGTGAATAAGTAGGAGTAGGGGTTTCTGTAAGCAATAGAAATTTACTTTTTAAAACAATTGATTTTTGAGGAAAAGGAGTCACTTTAGCGGAAGTGCTAAATTTTCGTGGTATAAAGCTCCAGAGGACAGAATGTACCATTGTAACCCAAGACTTATTTTGTACTCTAGGACATGCTAAGTACCCCGGTAGTCTCTTCTTAACGTATTTGGTTGGTTGTAGATTGCAGAAGCTCTGGTAATAGCTTTTTTGGATATACTATAAAGGGAAAGTTATGTATTGGAGCTTAAGCTTCCGGTTTGTATGCTTGAACTTCCAGAAGATGCGAGTTCAAATTGTTCTAGACTGCCACTGTCTGTATAACAGGTGGATAAGCATGGTCCCTGGTACATAGTAGGTGCTCCTTAAATATTTACTGTTAACCAGCCTGAGCCAGCAAATGTTGAACATTGGTCCTTGGGGCCTTTGAGAAATTTGATATAAACTATAATATTTAGGGCATTCACTTTTTTTTTTTTTTTTTTTTTTTGAGACGGAGTCTCCTTCTATCGCCAGGCGCGATATTGGCTCACTGCAAGCTCCGCCTCCCGGGTTCACGCCGTTCTCCTGCATCAGCTTCCTGAGTAGCTGGGACTACAGGCGCTTGCCACCACGCCCGGCTAATTTTTTGTGTTTTTAGTAGAGATGGGGTTTCACCGTGTTAGCCAGGATGGCCTCGATCTCCTGACCTCGTGATCCGCCTGCCTCAGCCTCCCAAAGTGCTGGGATTACAGGCGTGAGCCACCGCGCCTGGCCAACATTTTCTTTATTGATTTATTGGTTATGAAATTAAAGATGTATTCTCATCTTCTATGAGTGATTTGATTTACACTGACCAACAGAGATACCCTCAGGACATCAGCTTATTGTAATGTGGTTGGAAACTTTGAGACTTTCTTCCAAAAGGCAGGATTAGGCAGGCACAATTTGGACAGGCGGAACTTGTCCATATGTCTAGAAGAATTTTTATTCAGGATTTTACAAATAGTGCATTTAATTAAAAACAAAATTAGACACTTGATGACTTAGGGAACTTGAAAGGCAGTGAGTAAAAATCAAAGTACTAAACATATTTGCTTTCAATTTTTATCTTCATTCTTTTTTAAGTAATGTATTTTTTTAATATTCTTGAGCAAGTTAAATCCAGAAATTCAAATAGTTTGCAGAAACATATGTTCTTGCTTGAGCCATATCATAACACACATAGAAAATTAAAATTATCTTCTATGCTATTTCTGTAAGCAAAATGTACCCAAAACAGTATACAGTTTTCTTTTTCCTGAATAATACCTCCTTTGCTGTAGATTCAAGTCGTTTTTACTTTATCACTATGGAACTTAGTTTAAGTTGAGATCTATCTACTTACCCTTGTGTCTCCTGGCACATGATATATTTTCTTATGGGGGTATAGTTTAACATGGTGATTAATAGCGTGGGTCCTGAAGTCAGACTGCTTCAAATCCTAATTCCCATTTACTAGTTATAGCCTTAGGAAAGTTAATTTCTCTTGGCCTCAGTTTTCTTATCTTTAAAATGGAGAAAATAGAGCTACTTCTAGGATTGGTGTGAGGATTAAATATGATAATGATGTAAAGCAGAACACAGCTTGGCACATAGTACTAGCTTCATGAAGATTAGCTATTCTTATTAAGTCAAAATGAATGTTACAGATTGTAGGTGTTATGGAAATTATACCAAATTAAGAAGCTAGTGTGGGCCAGGTTATTAACAGACATTTCAGTATTGTAATTCTTCCTTTGATAACCTTTGGTTTGAATTTCCTTTAGATGTTCTTGGAAAGGGCTGGGCATGGTAACTCATTCCTGTAATCCCATCAGTTTGGGAGGCTGAGGCTGGTAGAATCACCTGAGGTTAGGAGTTCGAGACCAACCTGGCCAACGTGGTGAAACGCCATCTCTACTAAAAGTACAAAAATTAGCCGGGCGTGGTGTTGTGCACCTGTAGTCCCAGCTACTTGGGAGGCTGAGGCAGGAGAATCGCTTGAACCTGGGAGGCAGAAGTTGCAGTGAGCAGAGATGGCACCACTGTACTCTAGCCTGGGCAACAAAGTGAGACTGTTTGTCTAAAAAAAAAAAAAAAAAAAAAAAAAGTGTTCTTGGAAAGATCTTGGTAGGTATATCAATCAAATTAGTGTTTATGACATTCTGTTGAAAAAATACTATGCAAAGCTTCCCAACCAATGTTCCAGTGCTTAGGATGGCATATAGGTGTGCTGTTTGCAAATTTTTTATAGCATTGAAATTTTAAATCATTTTTAGAAGTTCAAACTTTTACAGCAGTTGAAATTACATTTGAACGTCTTTGGTATGATTTCCTCTTTAAAATTCCTGAATTTGGTAATTTGGTTATTTACTATTTAAAAAGGTAGAGATGGGGGTCTCATTATGTTGCCCAGGCTGATCTCAAATGCTTGGCCTCATATGATTCTCCCATCTCAGCCTCCCAAAGTGTTGGGATTACCAGTGTGAGCCCCTGTGCCTACCCTACCATGAATTTGGTAATTTGAAAAAATTGTATTTGGTATAAATACTAAATTTATACCAATTTTATATTTAATATTATCTGTAATACTTTTGTGTTTTTTATGCCATGATTTCATAATAAAAAGAAATTTTGTGTGTGTGGGTTTTGTTTTGTTTTGTTTTGTTTTGACCCCAGGACAAGCAAGAAAATTTTTTTTCACCAAGCTCTTTCAGCTCACCCCAATGAGCCTTACAAATATTTTTAATATGTGCCATCATGTGACAAAGGTTGGGAAGCACTGGTATAATGGATAAGAGCAGTGCTTTTGGATTCACACAAAACTGAATTTAAGTTCCACCTCCATTTATTAGCTCTGAGACCCAGAGCAAGTAACTTAACCATAAGAATCATAATTTTTACATATGTAAAGCAGAGATGATGTTTCATAATATGAAATGAGATAATGCATGTAAAATGCTTCACATTAGTGCCTAGCAAATAAAAAATCGTAAGTGGTCACTTCTGTCGATGATGATTGTGAGACTTACCATTTTAGCTACTTTTTTCAGAGGTTTTTCAGACAGCTATTTTGTTATTTTCCGTATTAATATACTGTTTTCAAATATCTTCAAATAATTTTAATATCCTTTTGTGGTGAAAGGAATTAAATGTTAGTCCTTTTCTTTTTTTACACGTCACTATACTAATGAAGATATTTAGTTTTGTACGTTGTTGAATGATCTGCTCTCTGAATTTCCATTTCTTGATAGTTTCCTTTAGCAGGTTCTGAGAAAACTTAAAAAAATACTTTGTTATTTGGGATTTGCTGGTGGTAGTATGGCAAAAAGCCAGTTGCATGCAGAGAATTGGAATCATCTAATTTACTTGTACTGTTTATTATACAGTTAGTTATTTATATTTAAATCGCTGCATATTATTGGCTGAATATGCTTATTATTGAGAATAAGACTGCCCTTTGGTAAACATGCCATTACATTATATCCTCCTATAGGATTATACCCTTTATTATGTTTCCATTTACTTGGGATAAGGTTCATAGCCAGTTACATTTCATGTGAGGATGCATCTTGTGTCTAGGGGAAGAAAAGCTTCGTGTTTTGTAAGCACTTATCATTCTTTGTGTCTTTTATTTAAATGCATTAGTCACTGTTTTTTTTTTTCCTTTTTTTAACATTTCAATAAGTTTTTGCGAAACAGGTTGTCTTTGGTTACATGAATAAGTTTGGCAGTGATTTCTGAGATTTTGGTGCACCCATCACCTGAGCAGTATACACTGTACCCAATGTATAGTCCTTTATCCCTCACTCCCCTCCCACCCTTTTCCCCGAGTCCCCAAAGTCCATTGTATCATTCTTATACCTTTGTGTCCTCA